CTGGAGTGCTGCATCTACTTCTAGGCACCGTACTTCAAGAAGGGATGTGGAGAAGCTCGAGAGAGTCCAGAGGAGGGCCACACGCATGATTAGGGGCCTGGAGACCAAGACATATGAGGAGAGGCTGAGGGACTTGGGATTTCTGAGCCTGGAGAAGAGAAGGCTCAGGGTGGACTTGGTTGCAGCCCATAAGTATATCAGGGTCATACATCAGGGTTTGGAGGAGCAGCCATTCACCAAGGCCCCTCAGGGGAGGACAAGAAATAACGGGCACAAGCTAGTTGAAGATCATTTCAGGCTAGACATAAGGAAAAACTTCTTTACAAGCCGAGTGCTGAGGGTTTGGAATAGGCTTCCCCCTGAAGTGATACAGTCATCCACCCTGGCAATCTTCAAAAACATCTCGATGCCCATTTTGCTGGGATCACTTAAACCCAGCAGTCTATCCTGCCCAAGTGCAGGGGGGCTGGACCCGATGATCTGTAAGGTCCCTTCCAGCCCCTAACAACTATGAAACTATGAGTTAATTTGACCAGGCTTCAATCAGCTTTTAGATAAAAGCTCCAAAAAGCCCTGCTGGAGTACATAATACAGGCATTGGGCAAGCTGGGTCAAACTAACACAATGCCTCTTCCGGGCATGTGCTGCACTCAGCACATGAGCACACCGAGTTCAAAATAAAGTGCTGTTTTGGGGGGTAAGCATCTGTGAGCAGCCAATGTTGCACTTTTCAAGCAAGGCCTTGATCCTAACTCAAATAGCAACCATGGCTTTGATTCTGACAACACAAGTTAACTTTCTAATGCAAGAAAACTTCACGTTAATACCTATCTGCAAAAAAGATCCCTGCTGGCAATGTTGACAGTCTCATTTCTCTTACATGATTATTAGTCCCCGTCTCCCCCCCACCCAATGAAATTGATTGTCAACTAGCAATTTAGATGTATGACTGGATCCCATCCGTGAGTGACCAGCCTTCCCTAATAATTTCAGGCTAGTCTGCAATGCCACATTTTTTATTCACATTGAAAGGGCAGTGACCCTTCAGACAATAAAAATACCATTTACAGTCATCAGAGGTTTAAGTAGGAAGAAAAGCAAACATAAAAGGAGGACGGGCTGTTTTCTATATAGGGTTCTGAAGTACCGTTTAAGATTAGGACGTATAATGTGGTGCCTAATACCCTAACCCTAACTGAAGAGCCTTTATGGTAGACACGAGACACAGTCATATCAAATGGGAATTGGAGTTGTCTGTAGTTTGTTTATCATGTCTGAATGAAGCACAGAGAAGTGCCGGAGGGCAGCTTGGTTTGATGGAAAAGGATACAGACAGACAGAAGAACCGGTGCCTTTTCAAGGTACCAGTGAATCAAACAAATATCAATAGAGTTCAGTGTTTGCTTAGACCTATTTGATTTCTCCTGATCAAAGTGTAGTTGTTGTCAGCTTATTTGCCCAAATTCTGCTCTCGGTTACGCTTGTGTAATTCTTCTGTGACTCCTAGGGTATCTGCCTCCAGCTATCTTTAAACAAGCCAGCTCACAGTGTAGCAAGAAGATCAGTGAGGGCTGCGAAGCCCATCTGAGAAGCTGAGTGAGTATTTGGACAGCTGGCCCATACTGAGCAACCTGCACCTATGGATGCACTGCTAGCCGTACCCATGCTAGGTTATTTAAAGGTGGCTCGGCTGTGTTTCTGCAGATGAATCTTCAGAAGCACCAGATATTTCATTGCAGAGGGAAGAGCTCAAGTCAACTACCAAGCAAAGGTAGCATGGCTTGCTTAAGGTGTCCACACAGTTATCAACCCTCACCTGTGCTATGGTGAAGTCTTGTTCCCCTCGCAAACAAGATTGCTGTGGTCCAACTGGGCAGTTACAGCCCCCAATTTCTATCATCAGCATCCTAGGTAAGAGCTAACAAAAATCATATCTGTACCAAAGGGATCCGCGAGGAAGGAGCCAGGAAGTGGGGTGTTGCTTTCCCGTGAAAATGAAACTTTCTTTGCTTTTATAAATGCAGCAAAGCTCTACATTGCAAGCGTATTTGTATCAGGCTGGGCGAGCGTATTTTTTAGACATTATATTCCATTCCTACAAAGATTTGTTCAGGTTCACAATGATCTCTCAGTTGAAAAGAGCAAACCAGACTGAGGCTTGAAGTTGTGTTTAAATCCAGCCCTTACTTATCCGGTAGCGTACAGGAAATCACACAAGGGGAGGGAGGATGAGATCAGCACCTCTACGACAGGAATCTCTTTCCAACTGTTTCACCACATTTATCATCATTTGTGATGACTCTGCCACCTGCTGCAGTGGAGATCTTGAACCCAGCAACATCAGTCTTAATGCCGGTTATTATGCTGTCTAGCAAAATGGACTGGGTAAAAGGAGTAATCTGATCTTTCGGTGAGCTTTACTTAATTGTATGTTTACCCAGGATAACCACGCAGGGTGAGACGTATTAGCCACATTGCCCTCACTTTATTAAAACATCAATTATCCAACCAGCAACATACTTCCCAAAATGAGATTATTCAGAAAATATTGAATCTCGAGTCAGTGAACAGACTTGGCCTTGCGCCTGGTGCCTGAGCAGACCCCAGGCAGGCAGGTACCCTGGGATAGCCACACTCGCCACCATATGTTATCCGTTAATGCTGATTCTTATATTAGCAGCTGCAGCCTCTGAATTTGTAGAGATTTTAATTAGTGCACTGGAACGATGAACCACAATAGCAGCAAAATAAAGAGCGGGACCAAAAGCACTTGTGGCAATGGTGTGGAAAATGTTACCTTTTAGTTTTGTTTTGTTTTTTTGCTGCCTCTCTGAAATAATTCAGTTTGGAAAATCCCTTTGACATTAACACACGCTCATCTTCTCAGAAACAGAGCCAAGCAAGGCGTCCCTCATGGCCTGAGTGCTGTTTGAGACTTCTGCACGCATCCTAGGGTCCACATCTTCCCTCGACCAGCCCTGGGTGGAGAAAAGGACAACCAAACTCCTGATGAATAGGTCAAGATCCTTGGGCAGCTAGACAGCAGAAGTCTCTGGGTGTGGCATTTTGACTGGGAACAGCCTGTGGTCCCATTAATACATTGTCTGAGCATAGTGTGTGAGCTAGATGGGCCAGAATGGGACTAGCCACAGGCCATGTTCCTGGCATTATGGGAATGATGTTAGCTCTTCTCAGAGCAGGGAGCTAGAGATTTTGCTGTCTTGCAACACAGAAGGAAGAGACTTCTTTGGCCCCATCCTACACCCACCCACATAACATGGGCAAGATCTAAGCTCCCATGTGTAGGAATTACTCACTCCACCATTGACTCTGGTATTTGTAGAACAAATACAGTCATTACAAGTAAGTGTGGCTAAGTAGATGCTGTATTGAATTACAAAGGATCAGCTACCTAGTCTCTCAGATGGTAGATGAGTTGTATTCCTACCCTAGTAAATAAACTTTGAAAGAATCTCATATTTGTGTGTTATGTGGGTTTTCCTTTTCTACTAGCAGTCAATTAAAGTGTTCGCACACTGACAGCCCTTTAGTATTTTTCACTCTGCCAGTGCTGTCTGCAGCCTTGAAACAATAACATCAAACTTGGAAAATTTTCTGGCTGATGTTGCATGACATGTATTGTGTGTTTTTATTTGCATGAATGCATATGTATAATAATGTTCCCATCTTAATGGACTTGTGCAAATAGCATTCAGGGGATGCTAAATTACTGTAGAAATCAGCTTTTCTTTCTTGTTTGTATTAGGAATGACCCGAATCCTTGAAAAATGTTTTGCTAAAAACTTTTTCATAGCCAGACAAACTCAATCAAAGATTATAATGGAACATCACAGAGATCTGGATCCACTAAGATGCCCAAAAATCTTATAAGTGGATGTGGGACAATAGAATTGGGGGGGCGGGAAAAGCTGCCTACTCAAATCTAGTTTTTTGCTTTCTCTTTTTTGCAGGTCCGGTTAGAGTGGCCAACAGACCTCACAGTCAACCCTGTAGACAATTCACTCTATGTTCTGGACAACAACATTGTGCTGCAGATCTCTGAGAATAGGCGTGTGCGAATTATTGCAGGTCGCCCTATTCACTGTCAAGTGCCGGGCATAGATCACTTCCTGGTCAGCAAGGTAGCAATCCATTCGACCCTGGAATCAGCCAGAGCCATTGCAGTATCTCACAGTGGGATACTGTACATTGCAGAGACAGATGAGAGAAAGATAAACCGCATACAGCAGGTTACAACCAATGGTGAGATTTCTATAATTGCTGGAGCCCCATCAGATTGCGACTGCAAGATTGACCCGAATTGCGATTGCTTCTCAGGTGAGGAGAGGCTAACCATTTCTCTTTTCTGTTGTGTTACAAGTCCTTGGGTTGGTAGGAGTTAAAATACCTTCAAGGGGGAAAAAACTGTGAAATGGTTCTGTTTCTTTGAGGAGTTGGAAAAAAAATCTGTACCATGTTAGCAAATCCTTTTGAATTAATTTAATGGGGGGGGGGGTCGGGGAGGGGAAGGGCATGCATGTTTCCACAGTGGGCACCAAAGGAACCTAAAGTGGGCTTTGTCCGCCCTGTTTTCAAACAGATCATTACTCACAGATCTAAATTAGCCCTGAGCCTACCTTTGCGTATTAGTTTTGCCTGCCCACATTCACACGTTGCCAGCATCCATAAAGCCGTGGACCGTACATTTCAGTGCTAACGACTTGCACTTCTGATAGCGCTGTTCACCAAGGAATGACCCCAAGTGCTTCACGCCTGATGTAAAACACTAAGTTGTCCTGCCTCAAAGCCCACACGGCACTCTTGAGGAGGAGGGAGGGTGAGAGATGCACAGCTCGTGCAGTAAGTGATGTTCAAAATGCGGCCCTTCCCACAGCTTTGAAGGGATGGAGCCGTCGCACCCTGTACCAGCCAACACCCCTGGAGGCTCCCTGTCTTGCATGCTGTGGTGCTGGGAGCCAACTTATTACCTGCTTCCTCCATAAATTTGCAGGGAGGAGAGGAAGTTCATCACATAGGGGCATGTAATAGTTTAGCTCGGCATCCATATACACCGCTTCACCCATCATGGATGCCATAAGCTCTGTCAGGGGACGTGGGAGCCATTTAACAGTACACAGCACTGCAGCTCAAAATTTTAGACAAGGAAATAAAGAGTTACCTCATCCGATCCTGACACCATGGAAGGAATTGTTTGGGAGTTGGCCAGGGGGCTGGGATTAGGA